TTTTCCCATGCTCAGACCGGCTATCAGGTGTTTACTCACCTGCCTCTTGAGTCGCCCTCAAGTAAAAAGTAAAGAAGAATCTACTTCAAAGGTAATGGTGAAAACCAATCACACCTGAAGAACTGCTCCACTGCCTGCATAAAAATAATAAGATACAAAATGGAAATACAAAAATATAATTTATAATTGTTCGGTTCCACGTAAGTGATTGGCCTCCAGAAAGGATTGGTATTCTGGAAGAAAATAGACATAGTGCAGCCATCTTATGTACGAAAAGGTATGAACACAAAAAAAACGTTTTCATAATGCATATATGTAAAAGTGTAAACTTGCTAGAAGTTGGACTCATTGTCAAACCCGATCAAATGTATGACCTTGGGCCTATGACGACCGCCTTTTATAACCAGGTACGTAACCAAGGGTGCATAGTCGTACTCCACAAAACGGAAAAGAATATACGGTTAAGGAGGAGAAAAAATTGTGTAGATTATGAGGATTAAGTACAATTGTGTCAAATACTCTTTTCTGGTTTGATCTAAGTATGTATGATATATTGAAGCAATATTTCGTCAATTCATCCACGTAACGAATTTGTCTGCACCTTAGAAATGTGTAAGTCCTATTACTCATTAGTATTATATATGGTTAATCGGTAAAAGGAAAGATTGCAGTCATTCGCCCGTGGTTTGATGTGGTCTAATGGCTAGGCACACGGTCTAGCATCCAGGAGGGCAGAGGTTCGAGTGTGTGTGGGGCTAGCGTTTTCGTTCACCAAAACCCCCTTCAATACGATGTTTGTTGGCCATATGTTGCTCAGATATGAGAGAAAGATAACAGGAGGACGGATTGATATGTCAAAGTGCCATATTGGAATAGTACAAGTTCTTTGTTTTTATTAATAATAATGCTATAGAAAAAAAACTACAAGTGTGGTAGATTTCCATTTTACGTTATAATTAAACCAACGAGAAAAAAAAGGTATATATATATATATAAGTTATTGACATAACATGTTTTTTTATAACGCTAGTGTTTAGTTCCAGGATTTTGTATGGAGCACTAATAATAATTGGTTTAACGTTAGCATAGCTGTGATATTCATATTAGTTCAATGTTGTGATTACTTAACAGTTCCCTTATAAGTTGTGTTTAAAATTAGGTATGTGGAATCAATGCGGCTAACATAGTAACCTTACAGTAACGCACTGTACTATATCTTCACGGTTATTGATTCTTAAATGTCAGAAATTTAAAAAAAATTTGAATATTGCCAATAATGATGGGTTATATGATCACACTAAAAAGCATGCTGTAGGAAAACTGGTTAAGTCATTATGTAAGTTTCCTAAACATGAAATAACTGATGAGAACTTTAATAAGTATTTGACCATAGTTTAATCCAAAATATTTTGTCTAGAAAACCACTTATTAATAGTAGTATTAAGCGTATCAAGCTACTAAACACATCTTCGACCGAAAACTTTTAGAATTAGTTCATATGGTATATATGTATGGCCAGTCTACGTGAAAAATGTATATGTTTATATAAGAAGTACAGCCAACATAGTTAATTAACCAGAAAAAGAAATTATAAAACTCGCCTGGGTTGCTTTTTGAATTCGTTGTATTTGCCAGTGTTAGTTGTATGAGTTTGATTAAAATCCGCAGCCATCGTTTCGGAATACCTAGCTTATGTGTCCAGTATTTAAAAATAAATATTTAACATAACACGTATATATCAAAGGCAAAAGGTCTGGGGAGTTGTAGGTGAGGCGGAATGAGGAGAAAAGTTATTTTTAAGTAGATGCAGGGTCTGATTAGCTACGTGGTTAGATTTTATCCTGCAGCTGAAACTGTCAACATCCTTGATTGGCTAATCGGATGTGCCCAGCGAACCGTTTTAGTCATGTGTAAAGATTTATCGTTTTTGCATTTCGATTCCGTAATGGATTTGTCAGTTAAACGATCTAACAACACGTATGGTGATTCATGATCTACATAAGCCGGCTTTAGCCTATCAATACTTACTGTGTCGATGTTTCCATGTTTTTCTATCACGAAATATTTAGATTTTCTTGAGACGACTTTGAAAGGACCTTCAAATGGAGGGCTAAGTGGTGCTTTTATTTTGTCACATCTTATCCAGACGTGCGTGCAATTGCTTAGGTCTTTAGGTATATATACGGCACGCGATTGTTCGCGAGTATTAATTGGCTTAAGTTTGGACATATGATCCCGTAGTTGATCTACGTAGTTTCCTAAATTAAGTTTTTGACTGTTAGTATTGGGGTTAATAAATTCACCTGGTAGTCTCAGAGTTGTTCCGAAAACCAGTTCCGCAGCTGAACACTGTGCGTCAGTTTTGACAGATGTTCGTATTCCCAACATAACTAACGGTAGGAATTCTGTCCACTGATTGGGGTTTGAGTGAGATATAAGGGCGGTTTTTAGCTGACGGTGAAAACGTTCTACCATCCCATTAGCCTGAGGATGATATGCAGTGCAGCGTATCCTATTGGAGCCTAGAAGTTTAGCCAAGTTATTAAATAGTTCGGATTCGAATTGCGCTCCTCTATCCGTCGTTATTGTTATGGGTGTACCAAAAATGGTTACCCAGTTCTGCATGAAAACTTTGGCTACTGTTTCCGCTGTGATGTCCGCTATCGGAATGGCTATAGGGAATCTGGTAAATCGATCTATGCATGTAAAAAGATAATTAAAACCGTTTGAACGAGGTAAAGGACCTACCAAGTCGATATGCACATGGGGAAAACGTGCATCTGGTTGCGAGAAAACACCTATGGGTGAATTTGTGTGACGATTAATCTTTGATTGTTGACATGCTGAACACTCTCTAACCCATTTGTGTACATCCTTCTGTAAATTCGGCCATATATATCTGGCATTGATTAGTTTTGTTGAAGCTTTCGCGCCAGGATGAGACAAAGAATGAAAGTTATTATAAACCAACTTTCGCATATTTTTGGGAACGAAAGGTCGCGGCATTGCCTTGGTCGTGTCACAATAAATTAGAATACCATCGATAGGTGATGGGAATTGTTTTAAATTAAGACTTGAATTGTTTGTTTTAAGCAGGTTTTGCAATTCTAGGTCCTGCTCTTGTTTGTGTCTTAACGTCTCGAAGTTTACTGTAGACTGCTGTAGCACGTTCATTTCTAGTCTGGATAAAGCATCTGCCGCCTGATTGTCCTGACCTTTGACATGTCGGATATCGCTTGTGAACTGTGATATAAAGTCAAGGTGTCGGACTTCTCGAGGTGAGTATTTATCGGCTCTCGCTTTTAATGCATTCGTCAGTGGTTTATGATCCGTAAAGACTACAAATTCCCTACCTTCTAACATGTGTCGGAAGTGTTTAATGGTCAGGTAGATTGCAAGAAGTTCTCGCCCGAAGGTAGAATACCTTGTTTCGGCTGGAGCGAGTCTTTTCGAGAAAAAAGCAATTGGTTTCCAGGCGTTTTTAACCAGTTGGTTAAGGGTACCGCCTACTGCTTTATCTGAAGCATCCACCATCAAAGCAAGTGGGGAAAGAGAATTCGGATATATCAACGTAGTTGCTTGAGCCAGTTTATCTTTAAGCTGTTTAATAGCTTCGATGGCGTCAGAAGACAGTTTGAATTCTTTTGGTTTTCCTTTAAGTGAATCTGTCAAAGGTTGCATTAATTGCGCACAACCTGGTATGAATCTGCGATAAAAGTTAATTAGGCCTAGAAAACTTCTCAGTTGTGTTAGAGAACTAGGTACGGGGTATTGTTTGATAGTATCCACTTCTTTTTTTATATTAAATAGAGCAAGAACAAAGATTGGTGCAGAATAATATGAATTCATTTTATTTCGTTAGGTTCTCATCAGCTGCTTACAACCTAAATTATTTGAAATTCAACATTATTACAGATATTGACATATTTATATATAAGAGTGTGATTAAGGTTTAATCCCTTCTGGGCTTATTGTGTGACCGAGAAATTCTAAAGTTTGAACACCGAAAACACACTTACTTTGATGTATGTTTATTCCATGTTCATCCAGTCTTTTCAACACTGCTTGTACATGCTGTTCGTGTGATTGCAAATCGGGGCTGGCAATTAACAAGTCGTCTATATACACCTGCGCAAATGGCATATCTCGAAGTAGGTTATCTATGAATCTTTGAAATGTCTGTGCCGCATTTCTCAGGCCGAATGGCATGCGTACAAACTCGAATAAGCCAAAGGGTGTAGTAATAGCTGTCTTGGGAATATCTTCATCAGCCACCGGGATATTGTGATATGCCCTGACTAAGTCAATTTTAGTGAATATGTTCATACCCTGTAAACCGTTGGTGAAATCTTGGATATGAGGTATTGGGTACCTATCAGGTACGGTTTGACGGTTTAGGGCTCTGTAATCCCCGCACGGTCGCCAGTCACCTTCATTCTTCTTTGGGACCATATGCAAAGGGGATGCCCATTGACTATCAGAGGGACGGATGATACCCAGTTGTAGCATATAATCAAACTCGGCCCTAGCGATTTTGAGCTTATCTGGTGCTAGTCTCCTGGGTTTTGCAAACACCGGTGCACCTTCGGTTTCGATAGTGTGACTCACTTTTAGTTTGTCTTTAGAAGGCTGTGGGTTTGGTTTAGTTAAGTTTGGAAATTGCGCGAGTATATCTTGGAATTTCGCTGTTGTTACTGGGGGAGTTTGAATCAAGTTAAGAGAGTTGATGTGACTTTCTTTGCCTTTTGTGTAATACGAAGTTTCTTTTAGTGTTAATCGCCGTTTCTTGGTGTCAACTAGAAATTCGTATCTCTCTAGAAAGTCCATCCCCAGTATTGCCAGATCTAGGTCGGTTACCGTGAAAACCCAAGGGAATTGCCTCCTGAACCGCAAATCTAGGGTTAAAGTTTTCTGCCCAAATGTCGCAATTTTAGTTTTATTTGCAGCTTGAAGTATAATTGATGATGTTTCTCGACTAATCTCAGTTTTATTTCGAGGGATGATGCTAAGAGCAGCGCCAGTATCCACCAAGAAATTCAAGCCCGAGTTTCTGTCTCTAACATAAAACAAGCGACTGTTTAGGCGCCCCTCCTCAGTCGTCGCGACCTGGGGAGGGGTTACTCGTTTCCCGCTGTCTTAGAATTATGCTTAGGCCAGGCGCATGGTTGCATGCACTTGGTTGAGTTGACACCAAACTTCCAGTGGTACCAACAAAACTGCCCAGATTGTCTGGACATTTGTGACCTGTTTTGTGACTTGGATCGTGGTCGTTGTGGTGACCTGCTCCTGTTTCTATGACCCATTTGCATTCTGATGACAGCCTCAGTGAGACTCTTAACACTCGCAATGAGTCCTTCTATTACGGGGTCTTTTGCTGATTCTACTTTTTGTGTGTGATTTATTGTGCCTGATCCAGTTGGAGGACCTCTTTCCATTATTCTGTCGGCTATACGCGCTAAATGAGATAATGAGGTTTCAGGGTCTCGTGCATCCAAACAGTGTTGGACGTAGCATGGGAGAGCTTGTATCCATCCTTGTTTTAAGAATGCTTCACCCACTGTGTTATCACCCACTAAGACTTGGAGGTGACGTAAAAACTGTGACGGCGATCGATCACCTAGTGTTTCACCTTGAAAATGTCTTTGGATTCTTTGACTATCTGATAATGATAAACGGTTCATTATCTCTCGTCTTAAGATGGTGTATGGTTGTGGTGATGGTGGACTTAAAATCAAGTCACGGACTTCTTTGGCGACTGAAGGAGGAAGGATAGAACACAAGTCTCTATAGCGAATCCCTTCAGATTTGATATTGTGTCTCGTGAAATAATGCTCTAGTTGAGCAAACCACAACTCAGGATCACTACGATCAAATTCTCGAAGTCGGGATTTCGTAGTCATAACAGTGTCTATCTCCATTGGTGACAAATCCTCCAGATTATGGGTTTCTATTGAGTCTGACATGAGGTATGTGACAAATATAGCAATAAAGTTAGCACGAAAAGTGGTTACTATAACACGAATAACTTAAGATAATACGGAATAAACTAGTTATATACTCAAATTAGTTTACGGATAATCAGGTCTACTTTTACGATTAAGTAAAAAAAATGTTAATAACAGAAATGAGGTTAAATTTGTGTTCTAAAAGGGCTCACCAATTTCGTGCCTTAAGGTAACCCTCGTGCTATTGATAGAAGAAACCAGAGAAGTAGTGAACAGGACTTTATTTCGATCTTCGCGCAGTCACAGTGGAGCGTGGGATTATCTGTTCAGACAAACAAAGGCTCTCAACATTCAAGATAATAGGGAATATAACGCTTATGAAAAATAAGGAAGTGAATGAATACTTGAACAATACTGTTTTGGCATAAGCTTGGTTGTTTGGGGTCAACTCTTAACCAACCAACCTGAGCTGTTACAACCTTTCATGACTTCCGAAAATGAGAAAAGGAAACATATTATTGGGTACTTGTGACTGTAATGTCCACGTAAAATTAGGAGGTTATTAACTGTAACATTTAGCTATAATCGTTCAGTTAACTCCTAACCACTTACCTTTCATTTTTATATCAAACAGCAATGTTGGTTCAACTGATTTTAAAACACAATAACTAGCTCAACGATTGTTGGAAATGATCCAGTCCAGAGTAAGGCTGTTGTCGTGCGTTTAATCTCGGGCAGTGTTGTAATCTGCCTCCAAATGTGTCCCATATTTGGATACGTACTGATAATATTGAAAGAGATAGGCAAGTTGTTGACATCTCGAGAACAGTGTTGCATCGACGCGGTATGCCAATTAAACATAATATCACTGTAATCCTTCACTTAGCCCTCATAAATGTATTATCTTGAGTTTTAGTGGTGACAGTTGCCTTTAACCTGACTTGTGACCACAAAAATAAGTGGTGTTTGCTGCTCAGAAATCAAAAAGTTAATAAAGTATTAACGAGGCAATTGAAAGTTTAGATTAAGGATGTGGGTAATAATTGCCTAAGATCATGTAAAAAAACTGGTCTGTACATCACTTTACAGAACCGAAGTATCTGGCATGATGAACCTAACGTTTAAGGATAAAAATACATTTATTCTGCATTGTATATTTCGGTGTTAGACAGAAAGCGGAAGAAGTAGTGGATAGTAATAATATGTATTTCTGCCAGAGCGGGTGCATGCCATCTTTATAGGCATGATATACAATTCACAAATTCGGTTTGTATATAAGATGCTTCCCAAATAGGGCTGATAGGTAGATGAAATCAATAGAAATAGAAAGCATTATATTCGTGCGGATGTCACAGAGAGTTAATAATTAGATTTGTATTTTAGTATTGCACTATGAGTACAATCCGTTTATAAAATGACACTGCACCCTTGTTGTGACCATGGAAAATTCACACCAAGTCCAAACTCAGAATTGTTGCATTAGAATTTTGTTTCTCCCTAGGATTCATCCAACACAAGTTTTTAAGAAGTTTATGGTCTTTAAAAACTATATGTAAACAGCACATGGTGTGAACGGTGACTTGAAGAACGCGAACATTAAATTTGTTCCTGATGTAGCAGGCTCCATAGCTGTGCACTGAGCGCATGATGCTGAAAAAAGGAGAAAAAGGAACAGCACTGCATCTGAATATAATCTCTAAATAATGCCTGACAGTTTCTATTGGAACAAGTTAATTGATGAAAAATTAGCAGATACTAACTGCCTTTGATAGGGTGGCCCCCCAAATGCCGTGATACGGTCGGGATGGAGAGAGTCCGCTCTTCCTCTCGAAATGCACTCAGTTGGCTACGCGTATACAGCCACTGCCACAGAATTTCTACTCACTACTTTCTCGCAGCAGGGGTGTTGTTTAGGAAATTTAGAGGACCAAAAGCGAATATCTGGCAATTTAACCGAGCCGGTTGACACGATGAGTTCACCTAGCGGAGTTGGAAAACCCTCATTTCAAACCAATGGTGCACATGGGCTCCAGTATCCTGAAGGAAGAAAAAGTGTATGAACCAATTGTTGGTCACCGTCTACCATGGGACTGCATCTCCTAAAGTTGCTCTATTGCCATGTGGATAAGACCTTCAGGTCGGAAAGTATCACAGCTCACACACAAGTAAAATGAAGTGAAATGGCGACATTAACTGAAACTACTATTCTCGCCCCGATTAAAAGTCAGACAATTGATATTCATTTGTCCTCTCTTTTTTAATACGTCACTTATCCACACTCATTTATTCCCCCTCTGCGTATCATCACTTTTCAACTTATACAGCAGCTCGTCTTTGATGGATATTCGACTCTATCTAGACGTTCTTGAGTTACTGTCCGGTTGAAAATTGTATGTTACCATCGAATATGAGTACTGAAGCAGTTTTTCTGAAACCACGTGCGACATTCAAACTGGCTGCCTTCAACGTTCGCACACTTATGCGGGTCAAACAACAGTTAGGGCTGGCTATGTCTTTGGAAAGTCTTAATATCGACGTTTGTTGTCTATCCGAGACCCGTATTCAAGACTCTGATGAAGTACTACAAATCCCCTTTCCATCTGTCGCTTCGAAAAGCTTGTTTTACGTGCGTTTATCCGGAGACCCTGTGGCATCTTCGTCCGGTCTTGCTGACGTTGGTGTCGCACTAAGCACTAGAGCTGAGGCAGCAATAACCGATTGGATTCTCATTAACAATCGCCTATGTGTTGTTAGATTAGAAAGTTCCATCAAAGTGAGAAGAAATCGGCGTGAGAAACGATGTCTTTTCGTCATCTCCGCCTATGCTCCGACAGATTGCAGCCCGGATGCAATCAAGGATGAGTTTTACCACCAGTTATCTGTTCTTCTCCAGAAAGTGCGTTCGACAGATATTGTAGTACTAGCCGGAGACTTGAATGCTCAGGTCGGGCGTCTAGGCACAGAAGAGAGGCGTTTATGTGGCTGAAGGGGGACTTGTTGGTCGCAGGACAGATGACGGGGACCGTCTACTGCAACTGTGCACAGACCACAACCTGTTTCTGGCTAGCACTAACTTTCGGCACAGTCATTGCCGATGTGCCACCTGGCGTCCTCCCTCTGCATCCCAAACCTGGACTCAGATTGATCACATCGCGACCAGCTACCGCTGGCGTGGTTGTGTACACGACTGCCGCTCCTTTTCGAGTACCCATCTGGACTCTGACCATGCCTTGGTCTGCGCCAATCTTGCCTTACTTTTCAGTGGACAACGAAGTGACCGCCATCAACGGATTGATATTAGCAAGCTGGTTGCAACTTCTGTTGCAAATAAGTATGGAACCGAGCTAGCCTCTAGGCTAGCAACCACTCCACCGAAAAGTATAGATAAGCATTGGTTGCAATTGCATGACGCCATAAAAATGGCGGGAACAGTCAGTTGTGGGTTCGCGAAACGTCCCGCTTATAAGCGCTGAGTTTCTTCAGGTTCCTTACAACCCATTGAAGCCTGTCGGTCTACTCCGAGTGACCGTGAGTTTGACCACAAACGACGACTGTAACATAAGGAAATCGGGCAAAGCTTGAGTAAGGACCGAGAAGCCTGGTGGTCGGAGCGTGCTAACGAGCTGGAAGCAGCAGCTGCATCTGGTAATTACCGGAAACTCTTTCAACTCATCCGAGCCACTGACAGCAAGAAGTCTGGTGTGAGCGAAACAATCTGTAAGGATGACGGGATGTCAATCACCAACATCCATCGACGTCTTGGACGATGGGCAGAATTTTTCGAAGGGCAGTTCAACTGGCCTGCTGCTCCGGCGACATTGGTCAGACTGTCCTGTCTCCCATGGCCGGTGACGACTGATCCACTAATTGAGGCGAAATTCAGCAAGAAACTCCAACTTTTGGAGCGCTACAAAATACCGGGCACAGATGACTTCTTAATATTTTTTTGCATTGGTGCGATCTATAAAGTACAACATTTATTGTTTCACAGCATGCATGTTAAATAAATTCCGTCTATAAAATTGATGGTTGTGAACATCCGGTTAAGGAACTGTTTGCGTTGTTCACAAGGGTCTGGGGGTTAGAAAGTGTTCCAACATCATGGAACGAGTCGATAGCTTTTCCTATCTTCAAAAAGGGTTCACGTCGTTCCTGTAACAACTATCAGAGGATAAGTTTACTTCCGATTGCGACCAAGCTATTGGCTTCCGTCATACTTCGTAGGCTGTTCAAAACCCGAGAAAGATTGACTCGCGAGAAGCAGTCTGGTTTTCTTTCTGGTCGAGGATGTATTGATCATATCTTCACCCTCCACAAAATGTTAGAACACCGCCATACTTATCAAAGGCCAACAATCGTAGTGCACTTCCAAAGTGCAAAGCACTTCTACAAGGCTTGCAGAATTCTAATCCTGTACTCACCCAGGATGGTGAGCAGATAGACGTGGTCGAGAAGTTCGTGTATCTAGGTAGTTGCATAAGTGTTGGTGGCAGCGTGATTGATAAGACCTATTAAAGTTTAGGGAAAGCCAGAGTGGCTTATGCGAATCTGGGCCATCTTTGGCGCCTTCGTGATGTCAGTCTGGCTGTAAAAGGTCGGATCTACAACGCGTCAGTGAGAGCAGTTTTGCTCTACGCTTGTGAAACCTGGCCTCTCCGAGTTGAGGATGTTAGACGACTCTCTGTGTTCGATCGTCGTTGTCTCCGAAGGATTTCTGACATCCCATGGCAACACCATGTTAGTAGTGCAGAGGTTCGGCATCATGTGTTCGGCATAGAGACGATAATCCGATTAGTGTCACCATTTTGAAACACCGACTTCGGTGGCTTGGACATGTTCTCCGAATGTTGTCCCAGAGAATTCCACGTCGTGCATTATTTGCCGACTCTGGGACTGGTTGGAAGAAGCGGAGAGGTGGTCAGTGTATGACATGGTGTCGTGGTATGAAAGAAAGCTGCAAAGGGCTGGTTTGTGTTGGTCCTTCACGACTCCCTGGCTGGGGTCCGAGAGATGATGCAACACGGTGGCTAGAGACGTTATGAGATATGGCTCAGAATAGAAGCCAGTGGTGATCCTGCTGTAACCTTCTTTTACTTTCTTCATAAAAAGTGGTTGTATCTTCCGTAATCGAAAAATTTTTTTTGTGGTTGTACCTTTCTGTTTCCCTTTTTATTATTATTACTACTCCAGTATGCACTAATCTGTGGTCGTTATTGTTCTCTTTTTTTATACGTTCCTTACATTCTTTTTCTCTTTCCATTCTCATTGTTTTGTGTGACGCATATATATCT